CCATCTTTAGTTCACCATTTCTTCCCTGGAAGTCCATAATAGTATAACTTAAGTAAGGTACAAAGTAATAGAATAGTAATTTAGTTCAGTAAGTAAAGTTTAGTGGTTAAATTTGAAAATAATTACCTCTGAGCAATACATGGTACAAAAAATTATTCCATAAAGTTCCCCTGTCCAAAAGATCTAAATATATTTTGATTTATAACTTTTAGAGACCTTTTAATTTAAAAAAAAAGCCTTTTAAAAGTTAAGAAAAATATGCCCTTGAAAGAGGACTTGGTCCACCTTAACACAATTTTCTTTAATGGTTCAATGATGTTTGTCACATTTACTATAGCTGAGTATTTCAGTAGATCAGGTGTCAAATTCAATTTCATTGAGGGCTGCATAAGGGCTGTGATTGACATGGGTGGGGGCATGGCCAACTGGGTAGGTGTGGCCAACTCGACACCACTCCCCAAACTGCTGGCATGTTTGGGTAGACTGGGTCAATGCCACGCTGGCCTGGTCTTTCCTCTTCACAATCGGTAGACTGGGTGAAAGCTACGTTCCCCTGATCTTTCCTCTTCGCACCCAGTAGACTTTGCATTGGGTAGACCAGGACAGTCCTGCAGGCCAGATCACATCACATCACGGGCCAGATGTGGCCTGTGGGCCTTAAGTTTGACACCTCTCCAGTAGACCTAGAATATATTTTTTAACACATTGTTTATTTTCTAACTGTAAAATGAAATATGTCAAATGCTCTTCAGTTGTTTATACTTAGCTTGCTCCCTTCCTTGTTTACTGGTTTTTCCTATGCTGTTAAGCAGTTTACTTAAAGAAGCAAAGCACTTTTTCTCATCATTTCACACCTGAATTAAAACATTGTTATTGAAAACCAAGTATAGAACTAAGGTAATAATAATTTGAAAACATGCCATCTGGTATCCAAATCTTCACAAAAGGTCCATTTTATCTATGGTAGTTATTATGTTTTCTTTGAATAAATTGATGTAATTTTATAATAATTCGTGTCTACTATTACAGTTCTATAAATTTAAATATATCTTTTGGAATTATTAAATCTAATTAATATTATTCCTTATTCTTAAGCTATTAGCACAAAATTAACTAAAAAATAAACACGAATAAGAGTTTACTGAGTAGGGAGAAAATTGTTATAAATAATGCACTATTTTTAAATGTAACCATTAAAATAAATGTATTAATATATTTGTGATCAATGTAGCAATACATTTTATTCCTCTTCAATCTATTCATGTTTACTATGTACTGAAAAAATATGACTGATATTTATAAAAGACTATGCCAGGTTGTAATTAATAAATACATTATACCGTCAGTCTTTCAATATCCATCAACCCAAAGTTAACAATCCAATCTTGGCAAGGTTACCTGGCATAATACTGCTTCCAGGTTCATTTTCAGGCAAGGTAAGTTCTCCTAAACCACATCGTGGACCAGATCCAAGAAAACGAATATCATTAGCTATCTTCATTAGGCTACAAGCCACAGTATTCATTGCACCGCTCAGTTCAACCAAGGCATCATGAGCTGCAAGGGCTTCAAATTTGTTTGAAGCTGTAATAAAGGGCAAACCTAAGGAAAATAATGAAGTAAGATATTATTAGCATTCTATCTATTCTTATGCACAGTTCAAATGTTATATGATTAATACATGTAGTCTATTTTATTTTGGTCTGAGAAAATAAATAAAATTTGACAATCACCATTTTTAGGGGTTCCCAGACTAATATCTCATGGAAAAAATAAAGTTGGGAAAATAGATTGCCAGACATAGATTGCAAATAGATTGCATAGCATTTACTAGGTGTCTCTAGTAGGAGCGCTAGCATTTAGAAATAGAATTCATATATTTTTCCACGAGTTCTCATTTTAACAAAATGAATGAAGACAGCTTGAAGAAACTCCACCTATGGAGATTAGGCAAATAATTTCCATTTCTTCTAGAAGAGATAAGGTTGCCACTATTATTGAGAAACTGTCTACTGATAATGAACTGGAGGATTTTGAAGATTCCTTAAATAAAAAAAAACCTAAAACTTGACAGGAAGCCAGGATGCTACTGGCCCTAAGCAGACCTAAACAATCTCCTTTGTTTAGATAGAGCAGGAATTCATGGATTTCTGATTTTCATCTTAGGTCTTGAAAGAACAATGCATCATAATTAACCCAACTGGCTCTCAGCAAGTTTCTACAGATGTGAAGGAATTAATCTTTTAATACTGTGAGAATGGGTAGGAAGTTACTCTTGTATAAAAGAAATTAAATTGTATTGTAAAATGCTAATGACTCTTATTGCAAGATTCAGCAGCAAAGCCACTAACTGTAAAGGAAAAACAAATGTGTGTCAGCTTGACCGGAATGTGCCAGGAAGTTTGGTCTTGCTCTGAACAGACTATATAAAACAAAGATAAGATAAATCCTGTAGTAACCGGACAAAAGGAAGTCATGTTGTCACAAACGTAGGATGTGTTATTTGTTTGGGAAGGATGTGTTTGTCAAGCACATAGACAAAGGGAACTGGATCTCAGGTGTGGTCTATATTGATTAAAACTGTAAAAGTATTGTTTGAAACCCCGAGGGCACTCATCATGATCTCAATCCACTTTGGGAAGAGACGTGAAGGCCTGCCTTTGCAAACACATTTTTAATAAACTTTCTTTGTTTGTACATCCGAGTTGTCTTTTGAATTAGTGAGTATGAAATTTGGAATATTTTAAATCTCACAATACTCAGGGAAGATAAACACCAAACTCAGTGACTCCCCCCACCCATCTATTCCAAAATATCCTTTTTTTGCAAAATGTGGCTGATAGAGCCATTTCTTTAATTGTGTTCACTGGGATTCCTTTCTAATCTGACAGCTGCTGAAGGAGTAAGCAATTATTCCTTCCCCAAGCAGATCAAGATGGACACTGCATCTCTGTCCCACAGGGATCTAGATAAAGTAAATAAACAGATGTGGCATATAATGCATATATGAATCAACACAAAGGCAGATATCTAAATGATGACTCTCAAGTATCTAGAATATGTTTGGGTGGGGTTCTTTTTTTGTTCTTTGGAGGAATAAAATAGGGCCAAATGACAGAATTACTATAATACATCCAAGGCCATATTTATTTATTAGATTAATTGGCCCTCCCTGAAAATCAGAACAAAGCATGTTCAGAGTGTCCTGATATGATGGCCACAAGAAAAATAATATTGAAGAGCAGAATTTTGAGAGTACTCTTCGTAACAAAAGTTAGTTGGCTCAATTTCTTAAACCTCAAATGAGGGATCTACTGGTTATGAAAGGGCTTGTTAGATGTGTACAAAGGAAGAAATGGTTTGAAACTGCCAAATTCTTAAGAGATTCAGAGTCATGGCCAGAGAGGCCAGGTATGCACCATGTTTATTTTCCTGGCTGGTGGGGCCTCCAATTACACATGAACCAAGTGCAAATTCATTATGTTGCTGGAGGAGAATGGAGTGGAGGATCAGCCCCGACATATTGAGACTTATAAGATGAAGAATGCCTTCTGAGTTAGGCAGAAGGATATTTTTAAAAATAGAGGGTTTGCATAGAAAACTGGAGGAAGTCTGACTGGTAGAACAAAGAGAACCAGAAGATAGGGTAGCAGTGGACCTATTTACAGTAGGCATGCTATCTGGAAGAAGATTCACAGACTTCTAGAGATAGATTTTTAGCCAGAATGCCAAGAAAAGAAAGGAAAGAAGATTACACTGACACTGTGACAAGGAAATAAAACAATAATTATACAGAAGAAAAATATGTTATGATGATGAGTGACTTGCTGCTCACAGAAATGGTCAATGATCTACAGCAGGGGTGTCAAACTCAAGGCCCACAGACTGGATCCAGCCCATGAGGTTCTTAGATCTGGTCCACGGGGCCACCTTCAAAACAATAAATGACTGGCTGGTGGTGCCTCTGCCAGCAAAAATGGAGCCCGGGATGACGGCCTCCTTGGGAAGCTCCATTTTTGTTGGCATAGGGCTGCAGAAGGCCATCATGGCCAAAAACGGAGCCCGGGCAGGCCATGTGCAGCTTCCCCAAGCTCCATTTTCACTGGCAAAGGGCTACAAGAGGCTGTTGCAGCAGAAAACAGAGCCTCGACTAATGGTGTCAAGCTGGCCACACTACCTGGCCACACACCTCACTTCCCTCCCTCCCCCTGAGATCAAACATAACCCTGATGTAGCACTCAATTAAATCGAGTTTGACATCCCTGATCTACAGACAAGACATAATGATCAAAGAATATATATTGCCCTCCAGGTATAGGTTCATGACATGATGTAGAGGTTAAACAATTAATCTAATTTACTATTTACAATCCCTTTCTTCAGTTTTATACTTGAACAAATAATATGGAAAAAATATTGAGTCTAAAAGAAACTAGGAAGGCAGGCAAAAGAATTCAAGTAGGTAGTTTGAGGAATGGAGCAGTCTAGAAGTGAAATATAGGTCCAAGGGATATTGTCGAGAAAACTTGGATCCCTGAACCATGATTAAAGAAAAACTTCACATCACAAAGAGTAGGAAGAATGCCTTTGAAATAAATATTACTAAAGTCATCTGGAGGGCTTTAGACTACATCTAAAGAACATAATAATCTATAACTACTGAAAAACAAAGATAATAAATTCTACACAAAGAAGAAAACAGTAAGCAAAGGATTATATACCAGGAGATGTAGCAGCAATAATACTATTATTGTTTACTATTTTTCACATATTTGAACCGTCCATCTCTCCCAGAGAGGGACAGAGCGGGTTTAATAGATAATTTAAGAAATAATTAAGACTCAAACACAATCAGTACAAAAAAAGGAGAAATCAGAGATAGCCCATGAGACTAGACTGAATGCAACAAGAACTCTCTGGTAAACAAAAAATTTTTATAACAGAAGTAGAATATTGGAAAATAATCCACATTTGAAATGATAAGATTTTATTATGAATGCCAAAAACAACAGAGTTCTTTGGGTACAAGCAGGGGTGGGATTCTACCAGTTCGCACCTATTCGCTAGAACCGGTTGTTAACATTCTAAGCAGTTCAGAGAACCAGTTGTTAGAAGAAATTCCTGGTCTAATCCTGTAAGGAAGGCAGGAAGGAAACATTCTGGTGTTGCTTACAGAAAGTGCCTCTCTGTTAACCCTTATTACATTCTTGGAAGGACTAGACTTCCTGTCTCTGGAACGTCTCTGGAGTTTTTCCCCCTCTTTTGCTGGTACTTTGCTTGGGTGGAGTGACCATTCAAAGTTACAATGGCACTGAAAAAAGTGACCTATGACCCTTTTTCACACTTACAACTGTTGCAGCATCCCCACAGTCACGAGAGGCCAGGCAAGGAGATGCGTGCCTCGATGTGAGTGATATTGAGTTGGCCACGCCCAGCCAATAACATGATCACCAAGCCACACCCACCCAGTCACATGACCACCAAGCCACGCCCACAGAACCGGTTGTTAAAAATTTGAATCCCACCCCTGGGTACAAGCAGAACTAGAGAAAAGTCAACTAAATAATTGGCATACTGTTTGAGAAGATAGCAAATGATGAAGGCATAGGGAGAAAAGCAAATTGATTATCGCTTGCCTTGCATCTATTTTTTGCATCCAACCTATCAAAAGTTACAAATCAAAATTGGTAAAGAATTGCTAAGAGAACATCTAAATGTTTTGAATGATTTCAGATCTCCTGGATTGGATAGAATCCTTCCCAGGATGGTAAAGGAACTGGTGATTGTTATCTCAGGGGCTAAACAACAGAAAAAAGTGAATAAGGATCTGGAGACCAACCTGTTTGACATCAGTATTTGGGAATATTCTAGAGTTGAAGTATTAGTTGGACAAATCTGTATGTGTCCAAGATTATCTGAGCTGCTTCAAGGTGAACCTGCTGAAACCTCTCGGTTGTCTTTAAGGAGAGATGCACATACCAGTGAACTGCAATAGTTCAGTACTGAGGTAATGAGAGCATAAATGACCATGCATAAAAAAACCAGACTGTCACTATTATCTATTATACAATATTACATATGTAGGCCCTGACCCAAGCAAGCTTCCCCACTAGTGCCCCTGGGCAAAGAGTCCTGCTGTCACTCCTGGCTGTTCCCTGGGTTGCCCGACTGCAGTGGTCCCTGCTTGGCTTTCCTGCCGTGCTCCTGATCAGCCCCTTACCACCACCACCCCCCACATGGACCCTGCTTGTGTCACATCAGCCACTCGACCTGGTGCAGCTGTCCAGAGCATCTTGTTATGTTGCTGCTGCAGGAACTGCAGTCTGCGCTCTGCCACTCCAGCTCAGTGGTCAGCCGCCTCTTTTTGTGGCAATGTACCAATTGTGTACCTCAGCACACATATGTCCATTCTTGATTTGCCATCAATGTGTGATGACTGTATTCATATTTATAATGGTTACAGTGTCCTGAGGTCAGGTAATCAACTTTTGTGACCTTTTAACAAGCAAAGTCAATGAGGAAGCCAGATTCATTTAATAAACATGTTACTAACTTAACAACTGCAGTGGTTCACTTAACAACTGTGGTAAGAAAGATTGTAAAAAGGGACAGCATTCACTTAAACCAATGTCTCACTTAACAACAGAAATTTTGTGCTCAATTGTGGTTTTAAGTCGAGGACTACTTCTAGAGCTACCAATGTTTGTTAATTATTGCTTGGTTTAAAGGGGATTATTTGTACCTTCTGATACTAACCTACAATTGATACAAAAACTATGAATGGCGGAAAGAGTTGTGGAAAGATATGCTCGGCATAACAAGACAAGAGAAAAAGACCTTCATGTGGATTAGAGAATGAACGAAAGTATACATATCAACAGAATAAAAAGAATAAAAATGGAAATAAGACTGGTCACATAGCAAGAAGAACTGATGGCAGGTGCACCAAGGCAGTCATCGAATGGATCTGACTTGAGACCTAAAACAAGATAGATCAATGACATCAGCAAGTATTGCAGGCCCAGTTGGCAAAAGAAAGCTCAGGACCATATTGGTTAGAAACATGCAGAAGAGTCCTTCATCCTGCAATGGGTAGACGATGGCTAAAATGATAGTGATGATGATTTGTACCTTCTGCTTCCTGCAGAAGATAATCTTCTTTTCAGACACGAGGGTGGAGTTTTCTCCACTGGCTTCCTGAATTTGAGAATGGACCGTTACAAATTTTTAGCAATTAAGCTGCTATAAATATTGATAATATTTGCTACTTCTACAATATCCCAATTTATAAAATTTAGTGAATGAAAACAAAAAGATATTAAACAGCAGGTTCATTTTCTTATTTTCCATTTCCCCCATTTTTATTCTATCAAGTTAAAGGTTACATCAAGGATACTTTTAATGTCTTTTCTTACTTGTAAGTGCAGCTATTTTAGATGCAACCTTCTCAGCAAAACCAATTCTTGTATTCAGTCCTGTGCCAACTGCAGTGCCACCAGCTGCCAGTTCATAGATTCTTGGCATGGCTGATTTGATTCTTGTGATACTATACTTGACTTGTTGCACATAAGCACTGAATTCCTTGACAAAAAATAAAAAGAAATATTGCAAATTTCATAGCATTTTTTTCATGTGACAAATGTTTAAAATGATCCAAACACTATTTTATAATTAGCAAATATATATTGTATGGAAATAATTTCCTCACAAGAAATTAGTATTTTTTCATTGTATGAAACTGTAAAATGATTTGTACCTGGCCAAGGGTAAGAGGAACTGCATCCTGAGTATGAGTACGTCCAATTTTAATAATTTCAGAAAATTCTTTTGACTTGGCATCAAGGGCATCTTGAAGCTTCTGTAGCCCTGGTAACAGCACTTCATGAACTTCCAATGCTGCAGCAATATGCATTGCAGTGGGAAATGTATCGTTTGAGCTCTTTTAACATTCAAAAAGCAGCAAATTATTATCTGTACATTTCTTTCATGAGCATCAGCTGAATTAAGAAGTAGGGTTCAGAAAAAGACTAAGCATCTGAGGGTAGTGGAGAGGTATGGTGGCAGGATAATGATGAATAATAAAGCTATTCTACAAAACTATATTGTTGATTTTAATATTATTGATCATCTGTCCCTAAGTTCAATTAAAATGGGGTCCTTAATAACACATGTTGAACTTGATATTGAAAAAAATTAGAAAACCTGCCACCTTCCCAGGTACTGTCATGTACGATGTCATTCAAACCTCTAATAATAACTCAGCCAGGGTTACACACAGTATGCAGCATTTGAGAAACAATTCCAGACAGATACTAAAAATCTATATATCCCAAAGGTGCTTTTTCAAGAGGCAACTCGACTTTGTTTTTCTTTGAAAACTGTTCACTTTTCATCCAAGAAGCTTTTGGATAAGAAGTGAAATGTCTTCAAAGAAAAACAAGAAAATCCAATTGCCTCTTGAAAAAACACCTTTGGGACAACCATGATTTGGATGACTGAGAATATAATATAACATATAACATAACATAAAACATAAAATTTATATATTTTGTACCAGGAAGTTAGTTCTCAGTCAATGAAGTGCCACAGTTAATTGTTTTTATGCAACAATAAACATAATTGATTGAAGAAAGACAGCAAGCCATACAATGAAGCTTACACATGTACACACATATTGGGACACACTGAATATTTTATGCCCAACTAAGCAACGTCTATTTAATAAATATTGTGATCAACTTGCAGATACTTGCTAATGCAGAAAAAGGGAAAATAAAAGGAAGAATATATTGACCTGGCTTTTATTAACATGATCATTGGGATGCACTGGGTCCTTGCTCCCCAGTTTACCACCTAGTATCTCAATAGCTCTGTTGCTGATGACTTCATTAACATTCATGTTAGTCTGAGTTCCAGATCCAGTCTGCCACACCACCAAAGGAAAGTGATCATTTAATTTACCTTCAGATACCTATAAAACATATAGGTTTTATACTTTATTATTGTGTTCCTATATAATATACATCAAAGGAAAAGGTAATGTTTTATATTTTTGAAATAGCAAACAGATAGAAGTCAACAAGAAACAGGCCCAACCATCAACAAATAAGCTCAATGTAATAAAAACAAACATATCCAAAGTGGGGGGAAAAGGATAATAGGAGGCCTGGAATTTAGAATTTACATATAGTCCTTGAGTTACAATAACAATTGGGACCATAATCACCATTGCTAAGTGATACGGTCATAAAATGCAACATCACATGACCACATTGCTTAGCAACGGCAGTCCCAGCAATCCCAGTTGTCACTGTAACCATAGAATATGGGAGTCATTAAGTAGGAAGGAGGAGGAGGAGTCCCAGCAAAGCAACTAAGTGTGTATGTGGGGCACAAGGAAGCGTGGGTGGGTTGATGGGAGTCATGGGAGGACTCACAGCAGCCTCAGGTGGGTTGGCAGCAACCTCAAGAGGACAGAGGTTGTGAAAGGTTGCCGCAAGCGGGCATCCATACTACAGAATGCAGGCAGGTAGGAGTGCTGCAGAATATGAGATCCCTGGGATCTGTGACTCTATAGTGGACCCTTTGGGAGAGAAAGCAGTGGGAATTGACTTACTGGGACAAATTGTAACCTTCTCAGCTGGCTTATTACCCATTGACTTTGCTTGTGGGAAGCCAGCAAGGAAGGTTCCAAATAGCAACATCATAATTACAAACCAGACAGTTGAACATTAATCATGTTTGAGGACCACAACTTTGAGGACTGATCAAAACTAATCTTTTCAGTTCCACCATAACTTTGAACAGTTGCTAAATGAATGGTTGTAAGCTAAGGATTATCTGTATAAGGAACAGGTAGTAGTTACACTGCATACCTTTAGCCTACAAGAAAGAAATCAACAAGGCACAATAAACTACAATTTAAAGGAAGTATGAAGAATTTGGAACACTCTGCCCTCAGAAGTAAGATGTATCTCCACTCTCCCAGTCTTCAGAAAATGTTGAAGACCTAGCTCTGCAAGCTCATTTGGAAGTCACAGAGGAACATGCAGCTTTGGGATTGGTTGGCACCTTAAAGGCCCTCCCACACAAAGTTTATCGACCCAATTAAACTTTTAAAAATGCAATCAAATATTTCAGAAGAGCAAATCCTCAATCAAATCATCACAAAAAATTTGCTAAGAAAACATATTACTGACTTGTTCAGCTTTAATTTGTTTACCCTTATTATCTTTTTCCCTGTTGATAATGAAACATTCATAGCATTTTTAAACAGGTTAAGGGAATTAGATACTTTAATACATGGCTAAATCAAAATTACTTTTCAAATACCTTCCTTTATGCAAAAAGTCATCATCTATATATCAAAATTAAATACAATATTTTAGGATGTCATACATACATATTATATCTTACCTCATTTGCTGCATTTATAATGGCATTAGCAATTTTAGGTTCAAGGCCATAATCCTGGTTTACTTCAGCAGCTGCTCGTTTTAAGATACCAAAAGCTCTTATTACTTGAACCTAAGGTTTTAAGAAAAATCTGAAACTTCACATATAAAACAAGGCATACAAAACATAGAAAGATACTATCTTTCATATAAAGCCAACACTCTTGTTTTGCTAAAAGTACTTTTTATTTTATTTACATG